AAATCCTTAAAGCTGGTAAGCTATCGTTCTGTATACGGCCTAATGACCCCAACTATAATTTGTTTTTCAAAGCGTATACAGCTAATTCTGTTTTTACACGGTAGATTGGTTCCAGAAACAACCGTGTAAAAAAAGACATTGATCATATGCAAAAATAGGTGATTGGTTCCTTATCTCTAAAGAAATATATATGCAATTTTTAATTTTCAAACCGTGTTAAGTCCAAATCGTGTAAAAAAGACCGTGTAAAAACAGAATTAGGCGTATTTTTATAGATTATTCAAAGAAAAGATACTTTTGAGCGAAAAAAAATTAAAAATTTAACACTTGACCTCTATTTAAACTATAATCATAAATTTCTTATGAATATATCGAGCCACAAGAATAAATTCTGAAAATTGAATTATATACAAGGAAAAAGAATAAAGGGTTACAAAAATAATGATGAGAAGTCTTCTTTATAAAGCCACCAGAAAATATATTTCAACGCACACTCAAAAAAAAACACAAGTTGCTAAAACTTGACAATTTTCTTTTTCTGTGGACCTTTACAAAATTGGTTTTTAAAATCTAAATGAAACTATTCTTATTTGTAAACTCAGAAAAATAAGCTTTAGGAAAATCACTCTGTGAGGAAGCCCTCCAATTTTCAAAGAACTTTCACATTTTCTCAAATTAAAGGCGATAGATCCAAGACGAAATATCTTCTTCATTTTAAAAACAACATTTTTTGATACTTTTGCATTTTATACCGAAACGCAGAAACCATTATCATAACAAGAATTTATAATTTCTTAGTGGTTTTTCTGTCATTGTCAAGACCTGTAAGTAGTTAGGTTTTTACTATAATATAGCCAATATATTGTAGCAGCATTATTTTCTTGTTAGTTAAAGCTGTAAGGGGTTCCTATCTGTTGTGAGTAGGTGGTTTTCAGATATTCATTCATCATTAAAAAAACTTGATATATGTTCACAAACTCGTAGGAATTCAGGTTCTCCAAAAAAAATGCTTCCCTAAAACAGGAAAAAGTTTCTGCGAAATTTTTGTCCATCTCCCCATTTAGCTTTGCATTGATAGTTTATTTTTTTTATTCTCTTAAACACCGAGTGCAGTGTCCTTCTATGTATTTTTGGTAGACCATTTGTTGCATATCCTTCTGAGCAATACAGCCTTGTTTTTAAGTCGCCAGTCGCTTTAATTTTGATTGTCTTGGATCATTTGCGTTGAATCTTTTCTCAGTTAGTTTTCTGAGTTGTCCTCTCATTCCGTAATGCCAACATTTTGTCTTCTTCGTACATCAAAACTGTTTTTATTTCCCTTGACAGCAAACGTTATTATAATTTTGTTGCTCTTCCTACAATATTTTTGTTCTTTTGGTTCAACCTTTTATTGTACTATATTTCGAATGTGTATGTGTCGTCTACATTGCTTGCTCTTACAGAGCCAGGCTTTGTAGGAAATACGTTCTGCTAATCAGCCCTTTTAATTGTATTTGAGGCAGGATTTAGAAAATTTCAAACAAACAGACACCTATAGCTGTACATTTCGAACCCATTTGGTTGCTGCTATGTAAAGCGATTCTTTGTAGAAAATAATTTCTAATCATTCTTTAAAAAAAGCAGGATTTAGAAAATTTCAAACAAACAGACTTATTTAGACTATATGTACTTGCTTTGCTTAAATTTCGAACCCATTTGGTTGTTGCTATATAAAGCGATTCTTTGTAGAAAATAATTTCTAATCATTCTTTAAAAAAAGCAGGATTTAGAAAATTTCAAACAAACAGACTTATTTAGACTATATGTACTTGCTTTGCTTAAATTTCGAACCCATTTGGTTGTTGCTATATAAAGCGATTCTTTGTAGAAAATAATTTCTAATCATTCTTTAAAAAAAGCAGGATTTAGAAAATTTCAAACAAACAGACACATTGAGACTACAAGTATATGTACTTGCTCTGCTTAAATTTCGAACCCATTTATTTGAGCTGTAGAAAATGATCTTGAACTCACGTCTCACTCGAAACATTGCTATAACTTCTCGATGGCACTGCCCCAATCCTTTAAATAACATTTCAATCATCCACTGCTTTGCTTATCTCGCTGTGCCAATTGCCAGCATGGCAGGGAAAAGCGCAACAAAAGCAACCCAATTGGCTAATTGATGGGTACTTCGAGGTCGGCACTTGACTCGATCAGTGCGTCCGATCGCATCGACGATGGGCTGGCAAACGAGCGGAGATTTCGCAGGGAAAAGCACAAAACGTCGAGTCGGTCAGATGGGTCGACAGATAGTATTCACAGGACTCGCACTCGACACAGACACACACACACACACACACACACACACTTTGGCGTGCATTCTGATAATTGCTGAGGTGATAAGAACGACCCGTTGAGCCGCTGACGCGCTTAGCGTCCGATCGAGGTAGCTGCCGAGCAGCATATGCGGGCTCTACAGTCCTTCCAAGCCTTCCAAAGTGACGCTTCACATTTGCCTACAAACGCTATCAGGGTTAATTCACTTTTAGCGTAATTTGTAACCACTTCTCCTACCCCCTTCGAGGATCGAGAGTGACGACGACAACAACGAAGGACGAGGACCACTGCCGCGAATTAGGTAAGCAAAGAAGCGCGCTTTTGTGCGCATTCATTGCGCATAATTCACAACACAGCGACTACCTAGACCTGGTCCCCGACCTGGTCCCATCCCATTCCATCGTCTGAGTGCACGTTAAACATTTTGCCATATTTTGTTATTGGAACGTTGAATCGTTCGCAGAAGGTTGGGATCGAGCTGCATGCGTAACCCTTTCGTAAATCGAGTTAATCCCAAAAAACGCAATGCAGATCCCCCCCACCCCTCCCCTCATAGATGTGACGCGCCGTGTCCCGTTCAGGTACACAACAATTATAATGGAAATTATCATTTTTCATTTTTTAGCTAAACAGAAAGAGAAAGGGAGCGCGTGAGAGAGACTGAGAGAATGCCAAGGGGTTAATGGAAGGAAGGAAGGAAGGAAGGAAGGAAGGAAGGGAAGTTGCTCGCAATGCAGCCGTCTTCCTACATCTATACGAGTAGTCCACAAGAAGTGGCAGCGACAACTCGTCACAAGACAGGCCGCAGTTGCGACCCTGAGCTCGAGATCGCTGCCCCACACAATAACCCGAAATGTCACCGCGACTGTTCGGCCAAAGAAGGAAGTCCCACTTCAAGGGACGAAGGTGAACATGTCACATGTCCAATCGGTCTGACTTATTCCTTCCATTAATTGAATGCCCCGCACAGCTTTTGTCGCGCGTGCGCTCTTCCATCGGACACTCGAGCCGTTCATTGTTCGTCGCAGAAGCTCTACGTACCTGGCTCCCTACCTCCCGCAATTCACAATTATTCAGCGACGTTTGTTTTTGTTTTACCATCATGGTAGGGCTCGGCACAATAACATAACATGCACAGTTCTTCTGAACAATGTGCCAATAATGGGAAGAATGGTCGTCACATGTCAACGTCTCTCGCTCTGCCGCTCGCTCTGCGCAGGAAGTGCCAAAGTCAAGAACAATGAATCGTTTCCACTAATAAGCAAACGAAACCCCAATTGTGTTTGGGAAAGAGTGGGAAAGTTTCCATAGTATGTACTTATTTGAAATTAGCAATCAAGTCTATTCCCATTTTCGAATGCAATCCAATTGTGCGAAATTGAAATCGATAAGCATTTCCTCCAGCGATTGATTAATGGAATATTGCAACACTTTTCAAATCGAATAGCCTAATAATTTTCTCGAAATTGAACAGATTTATTTACTTGTAATTCCGCATAATTTAATCGAATGCATTTCTGTTTCAAATCATTACAAGTCCGTCTATCGCCTGCACTTTCTTCTGTTTATTTCGTGTTCCCCTTTCAGAAAGCAAATGTAATCATCTTCACTTTAAAAAAATGTATTTCAATGTTTTCCAATTTTGATTCTATAGCTCAAATACTGTTCTTACAATACATGTAACATAATTAAATATGGTTTCATTCACGTACAGATTTTTAAAATGGAATATTAAACCGACTTCTAAAAAAAGACTTCTAAGAAAAGAAAGATCATAGAAGTGATCTCTAATGGTTGTATTACAAAGATTTGATTTAATTTGAGTTAATTTTTTTTAGATTATAAATTTGGCTTGTAAAGAATGGATGAAACATGGTTATCGCTTTCGGTTATCGAGCTAGAAAACCGCTGGAAAATGCCTTAATGACCGATATGGATTACTAGAAAATAGCAAGAACAACAATTACAAATAGCTAGAGAAAAAGTAGAAAAACCGCTAAAAATCCTCCAAAAAATGTCTAAAAAAAACACTAAAACTAGATGGTAAACCCAGTGGAAAATGTCTAGAAACACCTTTATAAATAACTATAAAACTCGCTAAAAAAAAATACATAGAAAACCCGCCGTCACCGATGATTGCCGATCCAGCTTTGAAGCGCCCAAGATAAAGCTAAAAATTAAAAATATTCCCGAAAACAACAAAAAATGACGAATCTCAAAAATCAAGAGCTACCAGCTGGGGATAAATGAGCAGAAGGCAAATCAACTGCTAGCGATTGCAAGTTTATTTTACCACTAGGATCGCACAGAAAGCATGTGCTGTGAAATATGACCAATATGAGAATATCAAGTTTGTTTACATTTCAAAAACAGCTGAGTTTTGTTAACATTCATTATTTCCATTTGGCCGGCTGGTCTACTTGCTGTTAATTTACGTTCGCTTGTTACTGTGCTCTTGGTTTCGTCACAGAAAAGGTTGCCGATCCAGTATTCAAAATAATTTTTGCTTCGAAAGTATATAGTTTTCTAACCTTTCATAAATTTGACAACCAAGTTATCTTCGAAAAACTCATCGGATTCGTTTAGTATACCCCCAGAGCTAGTCAGATTTCAGTCAAAGTATACATTTCAGTTATATTTACTAATTTTTTCGAGTCGTTTCAAAATTATTGTGTAATCAAAAAGTATCAGTTTTTTTGTCTTTGTTTAGATATCTTTTGGACCATATCTTTTGACTATGTCAAATCCGTCGAAATCCACCAAATTGCGCTTCGCTCTCATTACAGAGGAGGCGCTGGAGAAATTGCGTCCGCGCTCCCAGTCGCCAACACAACAGCCGAAGGAAATGGGCGAACTCATCGCCATAATTCACAACACTGTGAACCAATTGCTGGATCAGAAGCTGAAGGAACTTAATCTAGATCATCTGATTGAAATGAAGATAAACGCTTTGTGCGAACGCGAACGCGCCCGCTATGCCGCACAATTGCACACGATGGCCGCTCCGCCCCCGATGGAAATGGGAAAAGTTGAAACCGAGGATAGTGGCATGAAAATACAAAATGCCATATCCGTCAAGTCGAAAAATTTGCGGCTACGCAAGGATAAAAAAATTGATCTACTTCCGCAAACGTGCAAGCAATTGCCACTGAAGGCAATGATTCAAAAGCAACAGCAACATCAACAGCAGCAGTCGACCAGATCCAGGCCCAAAAAAGTAATCCCAACAGTGCCAGCGCCAGTTCCCAGGAATCAGGCTTACCATCTTCCCAAAACCAACAACGATCCGTCTATTTTGACAGTCGCTGCCAAGTATTTGGAGGACATAAATGAGTCTCGCCGCCACAGTTGGCTCAACTGAAAACAAATCCAAGGATATCATCAAATTGGCAGGCAATCGACCACATACTACTTGCTGGTTTTCCACCATCATTAAACACGAATCACATATTGTGGAGTTTTGGAGTTCGACGAGATGTTTTTATCAAATATATGCATTTAGTATTTATCTTCGTAAAGCATTTATTTTTGTACTACTTATAACTTGCAGCGAATAGGATAGATGTACAGATCCCATATGGATTTAAAGAACTCATTAGATCAGCCATCGTCAATGGGTTCCTAATTCTTATCGAGATGCTTTATCGATCCAGATCTGTACAGAACATGATTCAGTAATAGAGGAGGTGCTTTCGAGGAACTATTCTAACAAAAATAGACTGATGTATCATCAAAAGAGGTTCTGCTTAAAATCAATATAAATCTAAAGTATATTGACTAGAAATTACGGAAATTAATTGATTATAATGCCAACCGATTTTAATGAAATAAAAAATTATGAGGCACTATTCAGTGAGAGTTTTTGTATAAACAAGAAAATGATCCTACTAAGAATGGTTTTTGAACCGATCATTCATATGTCAGCTATATACATTAAAGAATATATATGTACTATGGTTTGCTTAAAACTTGCTGTGTGTATGGAAAAACACGTCTACATACAAAGTTTGATGTCCCTAACTCTTATGGCTGAAAAGTTCTCAGCGTTCATACAGTCGAACAGACGGAAGGACGTACAGACGAGCGTACGTCTATATCAATACGCCTAGTCTTGCTGCTCATATATGCAACGATAAACTGAAGTCTGCCAAGTCTCCTTCTGTCTGTTACATACGTGTTCATTTGGCTTTACCCTTCAACGCTTCGTGTACTGGCATACTCGTATAAATAAATAGTTTTCTTTGATTTCAGAAGAGCTTCTTAATACTTATCAGCTGATGATGGTGAAATAAAATACATAATATCTATTTGAGTATATAGTGACTATATTTATAGCTTTGTTATTGGAACAGCGCTTCATGGTTTCTAAAGTGTATCTTGAATTATATACCCTTTTTTTAAGTGCTGTTGAAACAAAGCTTTGAAGCGACATTTAAGAAAGGGTGGATGGCTTTGGTAGCTATGTTGGGTTGGTAGTGATGTGGAGAGTAATTAAATGTATTGCACAAGCGCTACATTAATATTTCTAAAAGCGTTTCTATTAACTGCGATTAAAACGAAGATGTTAAAGCGATTCAATGTATATTACATATTTGTTGTTGAAGGACTTAAGAAGCAAAAGAATTGGTGACCCCCATCTGCATAGCTCATTTCAAAACTCCTATCTACTACGCACAAGTATTGCAGCCCACAATCACAATAAAGACATTGCTCCCGCCCCGTAGTGACCGACATATAGAAACATATATGCATATAGTATTATAAATACACTTACTTGTATGTGTGAGAGTGCATTATTATGTACGTATGGGTATTTATTTATTACAGTGTCAATGTCTGGAAGACAACGAACAACAACAGGCCGATACTGAGAAACAAGTCTGGGCTCAATCGTCTAATCCGTGAAATATGTAGAATGAAAAATTGAAAAATTGGAAAACTAACCGGCGTTAGGCAAGGGGTCGAAGGATTTTGCATAGTCTTTGGCGCTTATCAACTCGCTGCAGACAAGGGCAGAGCATCAATCAAGAGTTTCCAATGAATGGCTATCGAGTGAATTAGAGGGCTAGGGCCATTTCCCACCTCCCCCCTCCCTTCTCTTTCTCTCCAGATATCTTTTATTTGAGCATGTTTTGCGTTTTGCGAATTTCTTTTTTTTTTTAGCGACCATTGCCACCACAACCGGAGCAGGGCAATATTTTTGCGGCTTAATATGTGTTGGGAAAGAAAAAAAAACAAGATAGAACGCTACAGTCGAGCAAGCCCGACAGTAAAATAGCCTGTACTCTCCACAAAAAAAGAAAAATTAAAAAAAAAAAAATTTAAAAAAAAAATTAAATTATTAAAAAAAATTAATGAATTAATTAATTAAATTAAATTAGAATATATGTTTATGTTTAGTTTTAACAGCATACATTTACATCACGTACCTATGCGTGTTTATATGCGTGTATGTATGCAGCACAAAGTTGAACCAAAGCAGCAACAACAACAACAGGTGCGGGCAGCGCTGCCGACAGAGGCAGCGCATGAGCAGCGATTTTACTTATGGCTATAACTTTCTTCAGAATTAACCTATCATGATGAAATTTGGCACACGGACACATTAGTACTAACTGGATGTACCTACCAAAATTGATTTCAAAATTCCGAGAATTACGGAAGTTATAAGAAAAAACACGAATTGCGGGGGAGTGGGGGGGTGCATCGAAAAAAAACTCAAACTCGTACTTTCTCGGTCTTAGGAGAATATGGAAACCAAGTTTGGTTATTCTAGCTCTTATACTTTCTGAGATCCTTGCGTTCATACGGACAGACGGACAGACGGACAGACGGACAGACAGACGGACAGACGGACAGACGGACGGACGGACAAGGCTATATCGACTCGGCTTCTCATCCTGATCAAGAATATATATACTTTGTGGGGTCTGCCACGCCTCCTTCTGTGTGTTACATACATGCGCACAAAACTAGTATAGCCTTTCACCCTTTGGGTACAGGCTATAAAAAAAGTAGAAGAAGAAAATTTAAACGACTACGAGAGAACGTCGACGGCCAAGTGAAGTGAAGCAAATTGTACGCAATGCTAAAAAATGTGCTCGGATCTCCGTCTCGAGCTGGCTTATCGTCTCTGACTGTAGTCAGTGACAGGACATAACATTACCCTCACAGCATATCTGAGCCGAGCCATGCGTGGGTGTGCTTCGTTTTCTGTGCTGTGCTGTGCTGTGCTGTGACGAACGGTCACCCCGGCCGGGGCCACCTTTGAAGGCGTGTAGTATTGTTGCGGGAGAGGGGAGGGGGGAGGGTGTGGATGTTTGCTGCCCAGCCACAGTCACAGTCATAGTCCCCTTCCCCTGCCCATGGCCCATGGCCCGCAAAGAAAGGGTGAAAGATGCTGACTAAGTACTTTGGAAAATTGCTTATACATATGCGTTGGCTGCGTTTGCTTCGTTTGGACCGAACCAATGCCACAGCTTTTGCTTACGCTATACCCTACACCCTGCCCGCTTCCCACTCCCCATTGGAACTGCCATTTAGTGGTAATACATTGTCATATGGACGGCATGCCATTCCACAATCCACCCAACGCCATCATCTCGCACACAACTTGCCGCTCTTGACAGCCAGTGGACGTTGTCAAGCGGACAGAAGTACGTACGCTTGGACGGACGGATGGGCAGACGGACAGACAGACATACAAGTGTTGGTGCCATGTTTATGTTTTTTCTTCATTCTTTTTTTATATTTTTATACCCTGTACCCAAAGGGTACAAGGGTATATTAGTTTTGTGCGAGTGCACATGGAACACACAGAAGGAGGCTTGGTAGACCCCACAAAGTATATATATTCTTGATCAGCATGACAAGCCGAGTCGATATAGCCATGTCCGTCTGTCCGTCTGTCCGTCTGACCGTCTGTCCGTCTGTCTGTCCGTCTGTCTGTCCGTCTGTCTGTCTGTATGAACGCAAGGATCTCCGAAAGTATAAGAGCTAGAATAACCAAACTTGGTATACAGATTCTCCTGAGACCGAGAAAGGACAAGTTTGTTCATTTTTTCTGATCCAACCCCCCACTCCCCCCCTATTACCAATTTTCTATAACTCCCATAATTCTTGGAATTTTAAACTTAAATTTGGTAGTCACATTAGGTTAGTAATTATATATCCGTATACCAAGTTTCATTATGATAGAATGATCAAAAAGAAAGTTATAGCCATATAACCAGGCCCAATGCACACATACATACATATGTACAAGTACACAAACACGCATAAGGCACGATTCTGATGTAAATGTAAATGTATGTATGCATGCATGGAATATTTTATATTTAATTAGTTAATATTTAGTTAATTAATTAAATTAATTTAGTTAATTAATTAAATTAAATTAATTAATTAATTAAATTACTTTTTTGTGGGGTGGTACAGGGTATTTAAGAGTTGAGCCTGCTCGACTTTAGCATTCCTTTCTTGTTTGTTCTTGTTGTTGCGTCGGTTGTCTTTCATTTCGTTTTTCCTTTGTCGTTTCCTTTTGAAACGCGCAAACTTCACATATGACAACTGGGATGCTGCGACTCGGCAAAAACAACAGCAACAACAACAGCAGCAACAACAACAACAGCAAGTACAACAATGTCGGGCAAAGACAAGAAACAGGCAACGACTTGGCCACCGTCAACCGCCGTTGGCCCGCCTTGTGATGTTTCTGATTTTTTGAAGCGTAAAATCAACGTTATGTGTACAGTTTACACTGAATGCCAACAACAACAACAGCAACAACAAAAAATAACAACAAAACGCGTCAGGGTTGCACAAAAATTCCGCAAATTCCGTTCAAATGCTTATGTAATCAGTTGAAATGAGAATTTCGAAACTACGGGAATTTCCATTTGAAAAACCTTCAGCTCTCTTTCAACCTTTTTTTTATTCCTTTGAGATTACAATAAGGGACTTGGAAACTCTTTCTGAATCAATGATCCCATCTTTTTTACAGAGCTTTCTTCCAGCGACCACGAAGTTTTCTTCTATACTGGATTGAAATAAAAATTTTCTTCGAAACTACGAGAATTTTTATTTGAAAAACCTTCAGCTCTCTTTCAACATTTTTTTTATTCCTTTAAGAATACAATAAGGGACTTGGAAACTCTTTCTGAATCAATGATCCAATCTTTTTTTACAGAGCTTTCTTCCAGCGGCTACGAAGTTTTCTTCTATACTGGATTGAAATAAAAATTTGCTTCGAAACTACGGGAATTTCCATTTGAAAAACATTCAGCTCTCTTTTAACATTTTTTTGTGTCCTTTGAGAATACAATAAGGGACTTGGAACCTAATTCTGAATCAATGATCCAACCTTTTTTTTAAAGCTTTCTTCCAGCAGCCACATATCTGGTGTAGATGAGCATTTCTTCTAACATTTAACGCATCATGAAAAATGGGTTAGAATATAAAAATTTGCAATTTTTTGTATACTTTTGAAACTCCACAAATTCACCTCTGAGCGGCTTTTTCT